TTAACTGCCTTAAATCGGCCCTCTTTCGAAGCGTATATTATTTGTTCAATTGATAGAAAGAGCTTCATGTGTGTAGATTAGGGTTTTGATTTAACATTTACTTGATGAGCAACAACAAACAAAAACATTCGACGGTATCAAAACAAAACGAGCATTATCAAATTTGCCGTGTCTTATACACTTCAATCAATAGAACACCAAACGTATACAAATAGCAGAGACTTCTACGTAATAATATGTTACGACATTCAAAAGAAATGTATTGCATGTCCTGTGATGATTGATTGTTACCATGAACGCGAATGTGTTCTCGTCTGTGATTGGTTAAGAGCTGTGTTTACAAAATATTCCCAAAACTAGTAGTGTCCCGGACTGGAAGACGTGGTAAACGAGGGTTTCGAGGATCTCCTGGAATGCAAGGTCCGCCTGGATTACCAGGTCCGCAGGGACCGAGGGGAGTGCCAGGAACAGCGCTCTCTGGAAAATCTCCATCTATTGTCAATTCACTTGGTGTGTACTTGACCAGAATGAAATTTAGAATAATAAATACATGTAAAATATACAAGCTTATGTACTTTTTAATCTTTTTTGAAAGCTCTTCCAAAAATAACCAAAAGACCTCCATCTGTTCTTRTCACCAAAGAAGGCGATAATGTGGTCATTCCGTCCAAAGCCTCTGGWTWYCCTAATCCTAAAATCTCGTGGTACAAAGACAACAAGAAAGTAGACGAGCGATTCTATGCAACTAGTGCTCTACGAATAAGCAATGTCAAGTTCGAAGACCATGGGGTTTACTTCTTGAAAGCAAAGAATTTCATTGGTCAAGCAACAGCGAAAATGAAACTTGTTGTAAATGGTAAAGGCCACTTTCAAATGGGTTTAAAGGAATGATTTTTGCTCAGGCAATGAAAACTTCAAATCAACTGAGTTCAACTCACTTCTGAGAACTGCACAGTATTTACCAGTATTTAAAGGGATGTTCTAGAAAAGGTTTTCATTTCTGATCTTTTTTAATTCAAAGACTTTGAGCTTAGAAAATGATTCATTCGTCATAACATTTAAAAAAAACTGATCAAACGATTCTGAAGTATCAAGATGATGCTAGGCTGATTGTGGACTCCCATTAGCATTGTGAATAATTATTAGTATAACATTCATTTTATGTTATAGTTTCTCCACGATTTGTGGTTCTACCTCCACTTTACGTCTCTGGTTATGAAAGCTGGAACACAACCATMACATGCAATATATTTGGGTTTCCTCCTCCGYGGTTCGAATGGACWCGTGCGAGAAAAGCCATGCCTAAGGGACGCCATGTAATGACTGGTAACAGCCTTGTTATCACGAATACAAGAAAAGAGGATAGTGGACACTACATGTGCAGRGGAATCAATAACCAAGGGAATGTGTTTGCACTTGTATTGCTCGATGTTTATTCYGTCAGTAAGTAGCGACTGAATTTACTATCTCTCAATTAGTTTGTAGATAWATACTTTGATAAGCGAACATTTTGCGATCAAAATTTTTATTTCAAATACCAAATTAATATTGATATTTCCAGTTGCTCCGGTCATTGTTCAATCCTCGCCTAATAATGTGACCGTATATAAAGTCATGAGCAACGTCAAATTGAACTGTTCAGCTACTGGATTTCCGCTGCCAACGATCGAGTGGAGCAAAGATGGCCGACATTTATCTGTAAACACTACAGTTCGCCAGACCAATAAAGAAACTATAGGCGAGTTTGTCATTGATCCGTTCATGCCTCAAGACCAAGGAAGATACAAATGCTTTCTTAGAAACTACGAGAATGGAACAGCCGAAACTACAATACAAGTTTGTAAGTCCAAGAATGAAGGAACCCATCATTATGTAGCCTTAATGGCACAATAGTACTATATCCATAGACCCACTAATCAATAAATGACATCACTTATTAACAATGCATCCAATTATTAACAATGCATTTTCGAAGATTAAAGTGGAAAAGGTAAGTAACCGAAGGAATGAAACACTCCAAACACTGCCACGTAAGAAAAAGTCCACAATGGATGCAAAATGTATCATAAAATTCCTAAATTTCTCCGACTCTTATAGCCCTAATGAGCTGTGGCGATCCTGGAAAACCGCTGAATGGCTATCGCACTGGCAATGAGTTTTGGGCCGGGAATATGGTTGTATATACTTGTGATCCAGGTTACGAATTGGTGGGACCATCCAACCGACTTTGTCTGGAAAATGGTGCATGGAGCAACTCCATTCCATCATGTAAGTTATTTTTCCCTTTCTTCTATCTGATTTACACTATAGCGTTTAAAAAATGTTGCACGACATGGACATATCGGAAATACTGTAGATTATTTCCCATTAGCACTGGAAAAAACCGCGCACTATAAAGGTTGTAAATTTCATGTAAATATGATGTAAATGTCCAAAATGATGTAAACTTGATGAACATCATATTGAGTTTACATCAAATTTACATCATTGTGTACACTTACATCATATTGATATCAAATTTACAACCTTTAAAATGCGCGATA